GCCGGGATAAGCTTGGTACTACCTCTATGTTTTCTTTGTTTTTATTATTTTCTTATGAAGAATTATCATTGAGAGAAGTATTGTTAAAATTGTGATTAGAATATTGTGGAATATGACTTTGGACTGACCGTTTTGGAAAAAATCTGTGACCTTGAGAATTGAGATTATCAAATTGTATTGCGTTAAGTGAAGATATTGAATTCTGTGTGATGAATTGAGAAATTGAATATAATAAGTAAGCTGGAGATTAGTAATTGAATATATATAAATTGCAAAGAGAGTAAGTGGGAGATGAAGTGATAAGAATATGGAAGTATTATTGAATTGATAGTTGTAGAATAGATTATGTGTTGAATTAAGACAGAAGTAGTAAGCCTCGGTGTTTTGTAGTTTGATAATTGATTTCAGATAGCTAGAGTACAGTCAATTGTGAGACTAATAAACCCAATTTATATAACCAATCTTTCTCCGTGTTCGAACCCACCTCTATTAGTTCAATTGCTTTGGTATATTGGAGCTTGAACACAATGAAAATAATATAGAATGCAGAATGTATGGGAGATGGAATTATATGTTGTTCTCATTGTGTTCAAGCTTTAATATACCAAAGCAATTGAACTAATAGAGGTGGATTTGAACAGGAGAAAAGATTGGTTATATTAATTGGATTTGTTAGTATCACAATTGATTGTACTCTAGCTATCTGAAATCAATTATCAAACTACAAAACATCAAGGCTTACTACTTCCGTCTTAATTCAACACATAATCCATTCTACAACTATTAATTCAACAATACTTCCATATTCTTATTAGTTCATCTTCCACTTACTCTCTTTGCAGTTTATATATATTCAATTACTAATCTCTAGCTTATTTATTATATTCAATTTCTCAATTCATTACACAAAATTCAATATCTTCACTTAATGCAACACAATTCGATAATCTCAATTCTCAAGGTCACAGATTTTCTCCAAAACGGTTAGTCCAAAGTGATATTCGACAATATTCTAATCATAGTTTCAATAATACTTCTCTCAAACACAATTCTTCATAAGAAAATAATAAAAGCAAAGAAATCAAAGAGGTAGTACCAAGCTTATCTCCGCTTACAACTATCACAGTCTGGCCCCGATCTCCCTTTTTTCAACCTCTTCATCCTATTAAAAGATGGACCGTCCGGTAGCAGATTCCAAAGGTTATGAACCTATGAATTCTTAACCATTTGTTCTACTAACAACCTACTGTTATCAACTAAACTCCCTAACAATAAGTCTAATTCTCAAGGTTATCAATAACCAATCAATAACTTATCACAAAATTTATTTACCTATTCTACATGGATATAAAGCTTTCTTTAGATTTTTATCATCAAATTTATGGACTAGCAAAACAAGTGAATCAAATTTTGGAGTAGTACTTGAGGTATACCATCAATTATTATCACTATGATTGAACAATTCTTTTACTATTAATTAAGTTTGCGTACAATAATTCAGTATATTTTTCTATTCAATAAACACTTTTCTTTGCAAATTATGGTTATAATCTATAACTTGATACTTTTGACTTTTCAAAAGTTGATAATTTTGCAATAGAAGATTTGACAAATTATTTATTAGAGCTACATGTAGTAATAATGGTACAGTTAAAGAGAGCTTAAGAATGACAAAAGATCAATGTAGATGCTTATTGCAAGGAATAACTACAATTAAACATGGATGACAAGGTATGATTACTTTGTTGTAATATCAAGACTACTCATCTTTGTGACAAGTTGGACTATTGTAGAATTGGACCTTTTCCTATTAGTGAACAAGTCAATTCTTGTTGCTTATCAATTATAACTACCAAGTCTATTAAGATCCATCCCGTATTTCATTTATTTCTTCTTAAGCTATATAAGACAGTGAATATCTTGGAAAAAAAAACAAATGCTACCTCTTTGTATAGAAGTGGATATTAATCAAGAATTTGAGGTAGAAGAAGTCTTAAATTCAAGGCAGCATCAAAATAAGTTAGAATATCTTGTTCATTGATACAAATATGATATTAATGAATGCACATAGAAGTCAACAAAGAAACTTGCAAATGTAGCAAAGAAAGTTGAAGCTTTTCATTGACAACATCCTTCAAAACCATCTTTCTACTCTAGTATAGGATACTATCAATGACTAAGAAGACCTATCAATTATCTTCAAAGAAAATAAAGATCAAAGTATGTAGCAAATATAATTTGTGTCATCTTAGATTTCATCATTACATGATGATCACTGTCGTGGTAGAGAGAATATGTCTAAAGAAAATGTTGGACTTTTGACTTTTACTAATTACTGAATTAAGCCTTAAGATAACAAAAAATACCAAGTTTATATATAAAATTATCCTTATAAGGGCAATTACATCAATACATAAGCCCTATCTATCAAAGATCACCAAAAATATGATAAAAATATCATAAAATCTTGTATATTCTTAAGGTGAATTTTTTCCAAACTTCAATAGCTCATATCCTATGATCGGACTATCCAAAAAAATCCAAATTTTACATAAAGTATTGATGTACTTTTAAAAACTATTACAACAAATTTCAACTACAAATTAATTACGGATCTCTAGATATTGCCAAAATCCTACTAGTAGCTTCAAATCCTTATTTACATACATTTATGTTCAAATTTCTTCATATCTCACAGAATAAGTACTTAAACACCATATAATTTTGGTATATAACTTTTTAACTTAATAATACATACTTTTAGAAATTTGATTCTAAAAATTCATCCGAAAACTTAAGATATGGCTCCACCTAATACTATCAACAAAACGACTCACTTATTGCCTTTGAATTATATATGCTTTCTTCAACGTTCTATATCTTCTTCATACAAATTCTAATGCAAATTTTTTTTCACAAGAGATGAAGATCTTAAAATCAAACTTGCAAATGCTCTTTCAATGTCCAAATTCTATCAAAAAACTCCTTATATCCTCAAAATAGCAACAATATGTCTTAAAAAGACACCTTAACTTCGAACAACTATAACTTCATCACCTTAATTCCAAATCCTTTAAAATTTATACAAAAATTGTAATCCAAATCCTAAACCTTATAATCCTTACTTTTAATTCTTAAATGCCACTTCTAAGGTTGCTGAAACCCTTGTTATGGTTGCAGACAGCCTGCTAAATGCCCATGGCATATGGCTTTTGATCAATAGGGATTAAAAAAACTTTATTTTTAGCCTTCATCCATCCATATTTTACTTTCATCCCTCTAAATAAGTTTTTTAGAAGTTTGGATCTTTATCTTTGAGTTCCAATCTTCTTCTTAAATTTTATGCTAAATATTTAAATCCTACATATTTTAAATACTATAATCAACATAGGTAAACTTCAAAATAAATTTTCTTATATCAACTCTCTTTAAATTTATCAATTAACCACTCTGAAGTAAATCAACACTTATAAATATATTATCTAGTTTAGTTAATTTTTACATATTACAAACAATTACATTATGATATTGCTCCTTGTAGAACTTGTCCCTAAAAGGGCAGAGTAATATCATGGATATACATAAATATTGTAGTAAACATCTCTATAATTAAGTAGAAGTATGTAAAAATAAATTAAAGTTGATTAATTTTATAATACCTTTTAGAGAAGCTTCCTAAAAGCTTCATAGATGCTACTTTGACTTGACATGTGTTTGTAATTAATTAATAGATTAGAAACTTAGTCATCAAGTTAACTACGTATTAATAGCTTGCGAAACAAGCTAACTATGTGGTACACATATAGAGAACTTATTTTGTAAGTTAAGATATGTTTCTTGCAAAGTCAACATATTTTGGAGGTCCTATAGAATATCACCATGTAGTTTTTAATTAAGAGTATATGTAGAGGCAAAAGTGAAGCCTTCTTCACTCTTATCAATGTTTTTTTAGTCTTTAGTCTTATTTCAAGACTTTTTAGTACCTTATTTTTAAAAATAGCCATTTTAGTTCAATACTACAATATCTTTGAGTGAATTTTTAGTTCTTTTTATTGACACAAGAGTATATTGATGATTTCTTTCTTCAAGATTCATGTCTTTGATAAAATTTCAAGTAATTTGAATTTTTATTGACTTTATAATTTTTTTACAAAGTCAATGTTGTTTTTGAAATAACTTTAGATGTTGAAAAATATAAAGCATTCATATTTTGGAGAATTGTGTGAAATTGATAGATGATCTATGACTGAATTTTTGTAATTATGTAATGAGTGTTGTGCTTAATCTATGTAGTAAGTTTGAGCTTGATTTAACATTTTATTTAAAGATTGTTGGAATTCAAACATATTGGCGTCTTAAGAATTAGAGTTTAGAGGACAAGTGAGTGTTTCTAAGATATATAATAATTTGCAAATTGAATTGACTTAAATTTTTTTACACTAGTAGTTGACTTAATTTTTATTAGCTTTATATTATTTTTAAGTCTAATTTTAAAAATAAAATATAGATATTCTATCCTTTCTTAATATGTAATGAATGTTTAATTTATTAATAATGGATATATAAATATATGGATAATTGTGGATGCTAAAGTATTAGGGTAAGAGTGATATGGATTTTTAGAACTTATATTCTCACTTATCAAAAACTAAATAGGGACACGTTTTTAAAAGAAACACAAAAGAAAGATACGACTTCCTTTACATGGACATGGAAGTTATAAAATGGCTGCTTGAGCTGAATTGTAGCAATATTTACCATATCATTCTCCATCTCATTTCCTTGCCCTAACACCCTCCCTTCATGACTTGTAGCACCAAAGTAAAGAAGCGTGAGGGGTCCACGTCAGCATTCCGCAATGTGCCTCGAGAATGCCGCCTCCACGACCCACAGCGACGAGCGGGAAATGGAGTCACGTCACTTCCCCGGGAAATTGCCAAATGGCGCCACTCTGGAACCAGGCCCTGCGAAAGCACACTTGGAACGGACCCATCAATCCAACCAACACTTGCATTCCTGCCTTCACTCCATGCATTGATCCAATCGCTCTCTTGAAAGCTACGACAGTATCCAAATCTGTCTCTCTTCGAAATCTCCATATTCTTCAGTTACGCCTTCTCTGAAATATTTTATCTGTGGGTTTGTTCATTGCTGTGTCCACATGTGCTCAATTAGGTGCCAATTTGGTAGAGGGGAGGTCTGTGAGCAGTTATGGCGAAGTGTGATAGCGAGTATGCGGGGTACGGTACCTCACCCGATCTCGAGGTGGGATACGGGGCAAGGCCGGCTCTGTATCCAGGCATTTATGCTGATGAGAATGAGCTTCGTTGGGGGCTTATTCGGAAGGTGTACAACATTTTGAGCATTCAGGTGTTGCTCACGGCCGCGGTTTCAGCTTTTGTGGTATTCACGCCCGCAGCGTTGAGTTTTTTCGCTGTGCATCCGTGGATTCTGTTCTTCGCCAGCATAACGCCTCTAATATGTGAGTTCTCAAATCTCTCAAATTTAATTGGTGGTTGTTTCGCATGCAGTTCTGCTGTAGTCTTGGTGTTGGATTGGTGGCTTGCTGACAATGCATCCGAAGCTTTTTCTGGTGGCCGGTGTTTTCATGTTGGGTAAACGTTTAGATTTTTCGATCTTGGGATGCGTCAATTTAGGATGCATGGTGTGTTTTACATGTTACATTTTCGGTTGAATTACGGTGAGGTAGAATATGTTAGATGGGAATCTTAATGTCTCTAATTATAAGCATGTGTAAGTGTTCTAAGAGGATTTGAAGTTTTTATCTATTTGCAGCCTCATTATTCCATTTTGCTCCAGATTTGAGAAATACACATTATGATTCAATGGTGTACTTCCCGACAAAGTTGGATAGTCTAGACCAGCAACTCGTCATTTTGGTTTCCTATTTTGTTCCTCAATTTACTCTAACTAAATCACCCATAACATTTGTTTCTGTTTTCTCTTGCAGTAATGTGTCCGTTGTACTACTATCGTCAACAGCACCCAGTGAATCTGGTTCTCCTTGGTTTATTCACAGCGACTATCAGTCTTAGTGTTGGAATATCATGTGCGCTTACCAATGGTATGATTCCAAGGTTCTTTTCTCATTCGGTACTTTATTTCTTATTTTTTTATCTCATGATAATGCTAGTCTCTGAAGGTGTTCGTGCAGCATTTGCTAATGTTCATATTGGAACTTGCGATGGACAGGATACATAGTGTTGGAAGCCCTTCTATTGACAGCAGGCGTGGTATTGGCCCTTACCGCATATACTCTGTATGCAGCACGAAAGGGTCACGACTTCAGTTTTTTGGGTCCTATCTTGTTTACCACTCTTACGATCATCTTGCTCTTTGGACTAATTCAGGTTAGTTGCCGGACCTGTTATGTCTGTTTTCCATACGTTGCTGGTTGTAGTACTCATTGAAGTAAGAAAATCAGGCTGTGCATATTTTGAGAAGCATTTTGAAATCGTGGTTGTAATAGGTAGCCCGTTGATGCCATTTATATCTTGTGGTTTTTGTCGAGATTTTTAGAGAAGATCTTAACTTAGCGCTTATTCTTCCGTAGCTTCAGTGTGGTACTCCTTTTGAGACAACTGTGATGCTTTCAACAGGTGTTCTTTCCACTTGGTCCCGTGTCTCAAATGATCTACAGTGGTCTTACAGCACTTCTTTTCAGTGCCTACATCGTATACGACACAGACAACCTCATCAAGCGATACAGTTATGATGAGTACATATGGGCATCGGTGGCTCTGTATCTGGATATTCTTAATCTTTTCCTGTCGTTGTTGCAGATTCTCAGGGGTATGCGAGACAATTAAGTGAACATATTTGCATTTATCTTTTGTATAATCCCTCTGATGTTCATGCATACAATGTTGACACGGGAGTTGTAGCTTGTTGAGTTAGCCACGAATGTGATTGGATTGCGATTTAAAATTTGGTATTGCTAGTTTAATGGGATGCAGTATTGAACTTGGTCACCACTCAAGTTGACTCTACACTATCTTAACTACAGCATGTCTATGTAAATGAAAAGTTTCATGTCTCTTGATTCATTCGATTTGTATCTATCCTGTGTAAATTATTGAACAGAATCGTTAGAGGATATTGGAATAAAGTGATAACCGATTAGAGTTATTTTAAATGTAATTTAAATATGTTTTAAGGATTTTTTTGAAGATATTCACAATCTGCATATTGTTTAGCAAAAAAGCCTTATTAAAAATGACCTTTTTTATAAACAACTTTGATAGCCACTACGAACCAATTTCCAAGCTAAGTAATAGGATAGATGGATATTGGAAATTAATTTAATTTAAATATAAATTGTATATTTTTTAAAAAATCAACACAATTTCTTCATTTAAATGGTAACTGGAGGATGATGAGAGTTTTTCTACGAAAAATGAAAGTACTTAAAGAAAATGGTATATTTTTTAAATTTTTTTATTAAACTTAACTTAAGATATTGAGGTTAAATAAATTTATAGTTGGAATTTAATTAAAAATTCTATTTGATAGATAAATCAATAAATTAAGAATTTTCTTCAATGATCTATTTTTCAAAAGACTAAATACGAAATTTTTTTAATAGATGGAATTTTAATTCTACTAAAATTTGAAATAAAAGTAAGCAAGTAAAATTTTAAAATAATTTTGATAGTAAACTATTGGAAATAAGAAACTCATGAAAATTAGGGTTAGGGCTGAATTAAGTTTGGATGAAAAAATCTTATTGGATGAGATTTAATTTAAAGATGAATTTAATACATGGATGAATTATCATTTATGGATGAGTTATTATGCAAGGATAAAGGTTGTCAATTGGTGAGTATTTATTAAATTAAATTAAAAATAAAATAAATAATATATATATATATATATATATATGTATAATAATTAAATAAAAATCTATATACATATAAAATAAATAAAACCAAAAAAAAAAACTAAATTAAGAGTCAAGAGAAGGAATTCTTTTAGCATGTATTTTGGAATAAATTGACATTATATATGAATTATTGGTAGAAAGTTGGTTTCATGGCTTGGATGTTTAAATAACATTAAAAAGTGACTTGATTCAAATTTAAATATGAGCTAAATGTCTATAAACAAAGTAGTTAATTTACTTATTGTGAATTAGAATAAACTTCCAATTAGTGGTAGTTTATTTAGCTTAAAGGTGCACATATAGAAAATTTGCCTTGCAAGTTAAAACAAATGACTTGCAAATTAAATACATGTTAGAAGTTCTATAGAATGTCATCATATAGCTTCTAATTAGATAATATATATAGAGGCAAGAAAGAAGTATTATTCACTCTTGTTAATGCCTTTCTAATCTTTAGTCTTATTTCAAGACTTTTGATACGTATCTATCTTACAAGATATAAGTTTAACTTATAAGATAATTTTCTTACATTTTCTCTATATAGCCAACTTATACTATAATTAGCTAACATGTGAAGTATGTGACTAAGTTATTAGCTAAGTTTTCAACCTATCAATCATTTATAAATATATATAAAATCAAATCTATTGTCGTATTATATTTGTATATGATATATAAAAATAAGATAAGAACTATGAAATATATTAGTTCTCAGTTTATATTTTTTTATTAAATAAAATATTTAAAAAATTTATTAGGAATTAGAATTAGTTAATTAATTAAAATTAAAATTAAAATAAAGATTAATAAAAATATATTTAAAAATATATATATATATATATATATATATATATATAGATGAATAAATCCTATTAGTAGAAAGTGTTGTAGTTGTTAGAAAAAAAAACTAAGTTTGTATAAGAAAAAAAATATAATTTAGAATGATTAATTATTAAAATACCTATTTCATATAAAATTAAGTAGACATAATTTTTATAGATCTTTTAATAGATATAAAAAATTTATAAAAGAAAGAATTATAATTCATAAGAAATAAAGATTTAAAAAATAGAGAGAGATTGAGTAACAAGCTTATAGGGAGAAAAATTGAGGCTTTAGATATCAAGTGGCAACTTAAGGCGGATGGAGGTAGATGGATAATAAGGTACTTGGATGGCACCTAGAAGTTCAAAATTTTATGATAGCATATAGAGAAGATGGAGAAGAAACATTTCCTAAAAATTCTTAATCAATTTATTGAAGGTATCTAGAAGGTTAATCCTTCAATGCTTGTATTAAGAGATTATGTTGGGTAATAAGGCACTTGTTGCCTATAGGTAGTATTTAAGAAGAAAGAATATTCCTTGAGAAAGCGTTGACAATTACATCAATATATAAGCCCTAAGTACCAAAGATCATCTAAAATGTGATAAAAATATTTTAAAACCTTATATATCCTTAAGGTGAAATTTTCTTAAATTTCAAAAACTCATATCTCATGATCAAATTGTCCAAAAAAACTAAAATTTTACATAAAGTACTAATGTACTTTAAAAAACTATCACGACAAATTTCAACTATAAATTCATTATGAATCTTAAGATATTGCCAAATTCCTAACCATATCTTCAAATCCTTGCTTACATAGGTTTATATGAAAATTTCTTCATATCTCACAAATTAAGTGATTAAATACTATAAATCTTTAATATATAGCTTTTTAACCTATAAGTACACATTTTTAAAAATTTTGAGCAAAAAATTTGTTTAGAAACTTAAGATATAACTCCAACCATTACTATCAATAAAATGACTCACTTATTGCATTTAAATTACATGTGCTATATTCAATGCTCTATAATTTCTTTATATAAACTTCAAATAAAAAACTTCCTTCATAAAATACGCAAGTCTTGAAATCATCCTTGTGATTGCACATCCTAATCTCCAAAAGCTATTGTAAAATTCCTTGTATCCTCAATAGTTGATCTATAGCAAAAGCAAAGATTATCTCTAAGTTCTATAGGTCAAGATAAACTTGACCTTTAGAACTTAGAGATCAAAAGCAAAGATTATCTTGACGTATAAATGTAAGTTTTAAAAGATTTGGAAGTAGGATTTAAAATTTAGGATTTAGAATTTAGGATTTAGAATAGGATTTAAGATTTAAGATAAAGATGAATAAATTACTAGTCTACATAGTGCTATGGTTGATAAAAAGAGGATTAGAGCTCTTTAATGAGAAAACTCTACAAAACTTCTCAAAAAAAAGAGATCATTGAAGAAAAAGAAATAAAATAAGAAAGATGCATTAAAAAAGGCCAAAGGTAAAAATCTTACTTATAAATTTTAATTTGATATTAAAAAATCTATTGATATGAAGAATATCTTAGAAGAAAAAATTTTGGATGCTAAAATTGAATTTACTTTGAAGAAAGCTCTTAGTATAGCAAAGAGGGATTTCCATGAATTGATCATTGATGTAATAAAAAGAAAAAAATAAATGATAGTCAAGGCTATTATGATTGAGATGAAAAAGAAGTGATAGGACATGTATTTGTCCAATTCGCAATGCTAAGAGTAAGGAGAGAAGCAAACTTAGAAAACAAGACTTTGATCAATAATAATATTCTTCTAGGAATACATCAAGTACAAGAAGCTCTAGTTGCAAATTATATCAAGTGTCATAATCATGAAAAAAATAGAGTGAGTTATTCATTTTTTTATTAAGCTAAAGTAACCATAGAGACAAAAATGAAGCTTGATGATTTAAATGATCCAATGTTGGCATTGATTGATCATAAGTTAAAAATTAATATCATATCAAGGAAGGTGTATAAAAAGAATAAGTAGCCAACTGATATGAATCATAGATGAGTAATTAGAATAATAAATAATCAAAAAAGAGATCTTTATAGAATTTATTTGGTAGTAAAGACAAAGATTGGAGATGTGGAGGTGGAACAAAAACAATTTGTATAAAATTCAATTACATATTAGATACTTATGCTATATATTTCATAGAATTTTTAAAGAGTACTATTATTAAGTAAAGATATTAAAAATCCTTGATCATTACTATGCTATATATTTCATAGAATTTGTAGTCTTTTCAAGTATCAAGAGCTTTACTTCCTAAATTAATAAAATTATTTAAAAAATGATAAAAATAGAAATTCTAAAACCTTTAATTATTTTCTATTTAAATAAATAATTCATAGTATCTAAGAAATTAGGAGTATTGAAATTCATTCAATATATGCAACTTATAAAGAAATTAACCATTAGAAATATGGGATTTAGTTTGGTTGTCGATAAATTAGAAAAATAATTTGCCACTCATGTTATCTATTCTATTAAAGATTATATTCAAGGTATAATCAATCTCAATTGGCAAAAGAAAATAGACATTTTACAATTATGAAACTCCTTTGAATTTGATGAAGATATATATCTTATTTCAAGGTACAACCAATTTAGTGGCTCATATATAAAATACAATAAATTAGATATCAAAAGAATTTGTGTCAAAAAAGACTTCTATTTTTTGATAATATTTGAATAAAAGTTTACAAATATGAAGAAAGAAATGAAACCATTAATACAAATGGTTGTAAAATATTTTTAAGAAACATATTAAAAATATAGCTTAAATATTAGAGAAGCTTCTATTAATGAATTTGACATTGTCTTTGGAAAAATCAAATTTTGGAATTGGAAAAATTCTAGTAGTAGAATATATATATAAAAAATATGATAGGAAATCAAATTTTGATAAGTTTAATGCTATATCAAAAATGAAAGTATATAATAGTATTACTAAGATTAAAAGATTTTTAGGTACATGTCTGTTTTATCATATTTAAGTGCCTCATTTTGCCTACATTTTAAAGCCACTTACAAGTTATTGAAAAAAGATAAAAAAATTATTTAAAAGGAAAAAAATAAAGAAGCTATGAAAAATTTAAAGAAGATTTTAACTTCACCACTTGTCTTTACACAAGTAGATTATCAATGTAGAAGGTCAATAGCAGTGACGATGGATACTAATCCAATAGTAATTGAATGGGCTATTGAACAAAATGATTTATTATAAAGTTTAGAGTATAGCTATAAATAGAAAAAAAGACATATCTATAAATTAAGCATAAATTTTGGAGAGTACTTATGGCTTT